GTAGAGCACTGGCCTGGAGCAGAAAAGCTAAGGGACAGCGCCCAGGCCCTGAGTTCAAGCCCCAGGACCAGCAAAAAATGAAAATAAAAAAAAAACAATAAAAATAAACCCTCTACCACATGTCGGGGACAGTCCCAGAAGCCTGAGCTTGGAGAGCTACCAAGAGGGAGAGCTCGGTCTATACCTGGGAAGGTCAAGGCCATGGGGAAAGCAGGAGCAGCAGACTGCCAGGTGGACGGGCAGAAGGACCAGTGTGTGCCAGGGCACAGAAGCATGAAGCCACATGGCCTCGTGCTCCAAGATCTGCTCTGGGAAAGACAGTCAAGATGTACCTCTGCCCCGTGGTGGCGGCGCCCAGGCCCCCTCTGCAGCTCACAGTACTTGCTTGTGGTACGTGTTGAGTCTTTGTGTTGTTTGTGACTCCGCAGTTGTGCACTTCTTTTGTCTTCAAGGAGACTGTGAGAACCGAGGCTCTTTTTATCTTTATCCCATGGGCTCCAACTAAATGCTTCCCTTTGCAATATTAACTAGGAAAGAAAACCAGGCTCCAGTAGCTCATGCTGGTCATCCTAGCTATTCAGAAGGCTGAGATCTGAAGGGCCAGCCAGCCCTGGCAGAAAAGTTCATCTCAGCCAATAGCTGGATGGGATGGTGGTAGCGTGCGTGGCTGTCGCCTCAGCGATTCAGGGAGGCTGAACTGCAGATTGAAGTTCCAGACCCCCCCCTAAAAAAAATGGTGAGACTCCATGTCAACAGGAAAAGCTGGGTGTGTGTTCACGTATGCCTGTCATCCCCCCTAAGGTGGGTCGCAGTGCACACCCGCCTTGAGAAAAACAGAAAAGAAAAAGACCCAAACCAAGAGCCCCTCTCAAAAATAACCAGAGCCGGCCCAGGCTACAGGCATAAGTGGTCAGGGCCAGTGGCAGGGTCCAGAGGTGCAGGAGGCAGGTAGTGCCCCCTGGTGGTGGCTGTGGGAAAGTGCAGCAGATGGAGCTTGGGTGGTTCAGTGGGAGCCTTCACAGGCCTCCCATCTCTAGGTCAGAGCCCGGCCTGCCCCAGGCAAAGGGCTGGCAGCCCAGGGGAGGCCTCTGATCCCAAATGATTCACACTAGTCACCCAAATGACATCACCAAACACCCAGCCACATTCTTATCATCCAAACCCAGCCTTCCCACTTACGTTCTGACATTCTGACATCATCTCTACCAAGCTGGGCCTGGCTGATGGATGTGTCAGGGGAAATCCTTTCAGGGCCCAGGCCCTGGACGGCAGGGGAGGGGAGGCTTCCTGGGGACCCCTGAGTGCCAGGAATTAAGCAAGGAGAGAACAGGATCAGAGCAGAAGTGCTCTGAAGCTGGGGGGTAGGGGGAGGGGCACTAGGGGAGGAGAGATGATTCTGGAGGTTCAGTGTAGGAGAGTTGGGGAATCTTGCCTAGGAATCATGAGTGTAATGCCTCTGAGAATACATGCAGAACTCTGGAAGTTTCTCTGGACCCTTTCACCCGGGGTGCTCAGGCTGCAGATGAGTGGGTGACTGGCACAGGAGAAGGGGGCACTCTGTGGCTGACCTGCAGTGTGACCGTACTGAGGTCATGGCTTTGTGTCTCGTGTGTGCGTGTGTGTGTGCGTGTGTGTGTGTGTGTGTGTATGTGTGTGTGTGTAAGAACTCCAAGGTGACAAAGCTCATCTTTGTCCCAGGAGTGAGAGGACGCTGCATATGGGGGAGTTTGTGTTTTGTTTTGAGTGCCAGCAGTCCTGGGGCTTGAACTCAGGACCTGGATGCTCTGCCTGAGCTTTTTCTGCTCGAGGCTAGTGCTCTACCCCTCAAGCCTCAGCTCCACTTCTGGCTTTTTGGTGGCTAATTGGAGATAAGAGTCTCTCAGACTTTCCAGCTCAGGCTGGCCTTAAGCCACAATCCTCAGATCTCAGCCTCTTCAGTAGCTAGGATCACAGGCGTGAGCCTCTGGTGCCCTGATCACCTCTGTGGGTTTCCAGATCACATCTTCACATCCTGACGTGTCCTCACCTCCCTTGTGCCTGGGTGGGAGGGGGCATTTTCTCCCACATTTGGGGGTCAGGGTCCCTAGGATGGGGGAACCCCTTTCTTGATTTTACTACCAGCCATCCATGCCCACCCCCTCACACTGCCCCTATTTTGAAAGCTCTTGTTGGAAATACTCTGAATTTAGTAGGGAGAAACCCACGGTTGATGTTCATCAGACTCACCCTGATTGCAAGCTGGAGTTTCTGCTCAACAGAGAAGAACCTGTGGGACCCCCAGGTTGGGGATTAGGTGACCTCTGGACCCAGGGTGACCCCCTCCTAGGTTCAAGGCCTACTTATCCCCAGACTTGAAAAAAAAATGTGAAGTTTGCCAGGTGACTGTGGCTCACGCCTAAAATCCTAGCTACTCAGAAGCTGAGATTTGAGGATCATGTTTGTAGGCAGCCAGAGCAGGGGAATTTCTGAGACTCTTATCTGCAATCAACCACCAAAAAGCCCAAAGTGGAGGTGTGGCTCAAGTGGCAGAGCCCCAGCCTTGAGCAAAAAGGCTTGATGACAGCGCCCAGGCATTGAGTTCAAGTCCTAGGACTGGCTTGGGGGGTGGGGTGGGAGGGTGGAGTTATCTTCATCAGACTCTAACTGGGAAGTGCACAGAGAGCCTGAGCGGCCTGTGAAAGATTCGGAGCCACAAACGGTGAGGTCAGCACCAGACCCAGGGTCCTGAGGCCAGTCCTGTGCGCTAACCAGACCCTCCAGCTGGGCTGAGATGGCTTGGGGGCACATTCAGAGCCACAGAGCAAACCACAGAGTGTGCACATGTGCAGGACACAGCCCAACCTGGAGTGCGGCTCGGGCCTCATGAAGCCCCTCCTGGGCGCCCTCTGGGGTAGGAGCCTCTGAGGCCTGGAGCACAAGCAGCCCTGGTGAGGAGATCCAGAGAAACTTCCAGAAGGCTCAGAGTAGATGGCCCTGGGCACTACAGTGAGCAGCCAGCACCAAGGTTGGGAGAGTGCAATAGATCACTCTGTGTGCAGAGCCCAGAGGGTTGGGGTGGGGGGCTGTGTTTCTTCGGCCACCTGTCTGTGACTCTTCCACTGCGTCACTGTCACTGGCCTGCCTTGTCCCCTCCCCCCTTGCGGGGAGCACTCCGACCCTCTCTCTTCCTCTACCATGGGGTCTCACCAGAGTATGGACCCCCAAAAACGCTGGGGACCCTGGGAGAGTGACTGCGCACACAGGGATTTGGGTATAGGTGGGGGAGGAGCTGCACGCGACACAGCTCCCCCTCCCCCTGCCGGCCTCCAAGCTCCAGCCAGCCCTCCCCCCCCCCAAGTCCTTGGCTGCTACCCAGAGGCTCAGTTGCTTGATCCTGGGGCTCAGAGACATCAACTGCCTGCCTGTATCTTTGGAAAGAGGCCGGGGGAGGAGCAGGGGCTTAGCTTTTGGGGTTTCACAAGTCACAGGCTCCAACAACCCCCAGCAGGCCGGGGGGGGGCGGGGGGGCACTGGGGGGGCCTGTGGCCCACAGCTGTTCACTAGGTTATTTTGGTCCCAGGGGAGCTGGTCAATTCCAAGGTGTTTGAACCAAAATAGCCAGCAGCAGGAAATCCCTGGGGCCTCTAGGAGGACCCTCCCCAGGAGAAGTTTCTCGAATAAGGTGGGGGGGGGGGGGGGTTTGGCTCTGGAAGATGGTGAAGAGAGAATTGGCCTGCCAACCTCAGCCCCCCCCCCCCGCTCCCCTCCCCCCCAGCGCTCCTCTTGGGCTGACTAGCTCCCTTGGCCATCAAAGCTGGGGAGTTGCTGGGCCCTGGTGGCTGACACCTGGAATCCTAGCTACTCAGGAGACTCAGAGTGAAGCCAGGCCGAGCAGAAGACACCCCAGAGACCCTTATCTCCAACTAACCAGCAAAAAGCCACAAGTGGAGTTGTGACTCAGGTGGTAGAGAGGCAGGCTGAGGCAAAATGAAACTAACAAGAATATCATCCCCCCCCAACATACTGGAAGAATTTGATCATTTCTTTTGAAGGGCAGGGGTGGGGGTGGGGGCTGTGCTGGGGCTTGAACTCAGGGCCTGGGTGCTGTTCCTGAGCTTTGAGCTTTTTCGATCTAGGCTGGTGCTCTACCACTTAAGCCACAGCTCCACTTCTGGCTTTTTTGGTGGTCAATTGGAGATAAGAGTTGCATGGATGTTCCTGCCCTGACTGGCTTGGAACAGCCATCCTCAGATCTTAGACTCCCAAGTAGCTAGGATTACAGGTGTGAGCCACTGGTGCCTGGCCCAAACGTTATGTCTTGACTCGCAGTTGGTGAGGCCAATATTATCCCTTCTCCTTTCACAGATGTTTCGAACTAGGATCAGAGAGGCCAGAGAAACTGGTTTCAGTCTACCCAGCTAGGGTGGTTAGCTCTCTCTGTCAGCCAGGCCGCAGAGTGTCTGGTGTCTGTGGATTTCAGCCCTAAGCTCCAGGTCAGCTTGGACAGGGCTGACTGGCACTGCCAACCTTGCTCACTCTCCTCCTTGCTGCCACGTGTCAAACGCAGGAGGGAGATGGCAGGAAGGAGGGCATTTATTCCAGCCACCTTGGAGCCCTACCCAAGATCATGGCCACCGGGGTGGCGTGCAGGGGGTGGGGTGGGGGGAGTGTGTGGGCACCAGGCAGGCACCGCGCGCGGGGCGCATGCCCGGGACAGGACGCGCCCTCTAGAAGCTGCTCTGGGGCTGGATCGCAGCACTTGTCGTCCAGTGCCGCCGGGCTCGAGTGACCGATCCCCCTGGGGCCTGCGTTGGCGACGGTTCCCCTCACACCCCACACCCCGCCCCGCCTCTGCCCCCGGATTTTCCAAGCGGCTTCATTTCCTGTGCGGTCGAATCCCTTCCCAGGCGCGCTCGGCTCCCTCCTCCCGCCCCCA